GGTGGGAGGCAGAGATGGGGTGAGGGGGTGGGGGTTGGGGGTGGTATAAAGCTTTACTTTATCCGTTCCTTGACCCCCAACAAGTATCAGTGGAATAACTGCTACCTCTAATCCCCACCCAGGGAGGTGGGTGAATGGGCAGCGAAGCAGACACAGGTGCAAATATGCATGAATGAAATTCTTTCTAGCTCTAAGCCTTCCTCACCTTTGTCTTCTCAGCAGGTGACACTGTTTGCTGAGTGAATACATCAGACCGCTCAGACCCAAGGACGTCTGTTTAGCTTGCATGGGAAACCGCCTCCAACTGTATGTTGACTATTGATCTGGATTTCAACGGAAACAGACATGTCTCTAAGGAAACGTTTTTACTGATTTTTTTAAGGGATGACTTGGAAAGCTAATCATTTTTAATAATTACGTCTGGACTTTAAAGAGCTCTTTATCTGCAATTTACTCCCTAGACATTTGGCCTTTAGAGCGCATGCGCCCCCCTGCAGTCTCCCCTTCCCCCTCCCCTGGGGGCTTCTCTCTAAGGGAAAAGAGGCCGCTCTGCGCTCAGCTGACACGGTGCCTCTGATCATGTCAGCCCAGGTGACTTCTGACTGTTAATTTCCTCCTAACACCTTCGACTTTTGATCTTGAAGCACCAGGGCCGGACTTTTATTGGGTTTGATTTACTGTGAAGCTCGGTAAATTAAGCCATAATAGTCAATGAGTAATCGCAGGCTTCAGCCAGGCCCAGCTCTTAGTGCAGCTGAGTAACTAGGAAACCACCTAATAACAGAAAGGTAAGAAATGTTAGGAAGCCTGCTCTCCCCCAGAACTAGGATAAGCCATTTAACTATGACCATGCGACCACCCAGGCATAGAGCGGGATTGGCCACAGTGTAGGGCCCAGGAAGGGTGCTGGCTGGATGAGGGACTCAGGGTGTGGCCTGCGTGGGAGTCAAGGGTCCAAGGTGCTGTGACCTGGGCTCCCTCCCCCTGCCTCCTGTACCTCTCGGTTCAGCCATTTGTGCTCTGGCCCCATCATTTTCAATAGGGTTTCACACACTTACCACTGAGAGGGCAGGGATGATTGTGTGTGTGTGTGTGTGTGTGTGTGTGTGTGTGTATTTTTTTTAAATTAATCATCACCCAAGGATATTTTCCCATTGATTTGTAGAGAGTGGAAGGGAGGGGGAGAGATAGAGAGAAACATCCATGTGAGAGAGAGACATGGATTGGTTGCCTCCTACACATGCCCCAACCAGGGCTGGGGATCAGGCCTGCAACAAAGGTATGTGCCCTTGACCAGAATCAAACCTGGGACCCTTCAGTC